GCTAGGATTACAGGCATGAGCCACCGCGCCCGGCCTTTGCTTCTTTTTAATTGCCATGCATTCTCGAATGGCAAGAGAAAGCACATAAACCCAAGGGTAAACTTCTGTCAACAAAGAAGTATTGAACCTAGAAAGTATTTTGTTGACTATTTGCTGGTTGGGCATTTGATTAAATATAGGAGTAAGACCATGTCAAATGCTAAAATAAAGCTTTGGGAATGATGCTCATTGAGCAAATTTTTGAGGACTCTCTATGGGCTAGCCCAGGGCTGGGTGATGATGACACAAAGATAACGAGTGATAACTCCTGCTCATCAAGGAATTCTTGGTTTAATGAGAAAGACAATGAAATACAGTAGATTGTTTCCCACCTTCAACCCATGTGTGAAGTGTTAGTTTATGCACATTTGCCTCTGTTCCTTTTTCTCACCGTGAGAATTCTAGTGGGCAGATATGAAGCCAGTGCTTTTGGCAACAAATAGAGAAAAGGGCTATAAAGAGGAAGGCACAGTACTCACAGAGTTAAAATGTTTAGCAGTGAGTGAAGTATGGAAGCTCAAGTGTGGGGTGATGTTAGTGAAAACAACAGGCTGAGGGTCTGGGGGAACGTGGTGATAGGCCCTGCAGGGATCTGATGTGTGAAGACCTTTGTAGTTGTGGCCTTGTAATGAAGAACCCACCACCTGGTCAGCCATGGCATGCAAAGTGAGCCATGAATTTGTATCCACTAATCATGAATTCTTTTGAAAGGATTTTCATCAGCGAAACCCTCAATTTGGTCCCAATGGTAGAAGTAGGCCCTGAGACCTCTGGGAGCACTGGGAAGAGGCTGCTTATCTAGCCTAGTGTGTCAAGACAGGCTGCCCAGGTGAGAAGGATGTGAACACTGGGGGAGGGTGAGCAGAACTAGACAGATGAAGACCAGAGAGCTCACTGTGATGAGAGGATAGGATGCTGGGAGTGTGGAGAGTATCTAGAAAGGCAGGATTGATTTAGAGTGCGTTGATGGCTTAAGCCATAGTTAAAAGTTTCTTAATCTCTATGAATTAAGCAAATCTGTTCGATGTAATCTTGGTATTTTTATTAGTGTCAAAACACCGAAACCTGATTTTTATTAATTAGTTCCTCTATAGAGTAAGTTTTTTTACTAACTGGTATTTTCTTCTCTAAAGAAAAGGGTTGTTGTTACCAACCTGAATGGACACACTGCCCGAGTCAATTGCATACAGTGGATTTGTAAACAGGATGGCTGTAAGTATTAACCCGATTATTAAAGCTGATCTCAATTGTTTAGTATGGTTAGCCATTTTTTCCTCATCACTTCTCTTAATTTAGCATTACCTTATCTGATGTTATACAGTTGGAAAATAGAAGAAAAATGGTATGTCCAGTGAAAATATCTGACCTGTATTTTTACTTTATAGCAGTTGAAGCATAGATAACACAGCAGTGCTTAGGGTGAGGGTAGAGGGAGCCCTTGACTTTGGCAAGATACCCTTCTCCCCTGAAATTGCCCATAGCCTTTGATGGAAAACCTGTAAGCAGGGCCTAGGCTGAGGCTGTGATTTAGAATACTTGGCTTCTACGTTTGTTTGTGCCATAGACAAGTTATTACTTTTTTTAGGCAAGACATTGCATCTCTGTTGGCCCTAGTTTGCACCTTAGTAACGTCTGAAAAGTAAAGGATTGTACCAGGTCAGGGGACTTTCAGAGATTTGCAAGAGTTGTGAGGTCAAAATTATTTTCCTAATATTAAGTTGTTCACAATTCTTATTCTGTCATGAGTGTACATTTTCCAGTGGCCACAATGATATGTGATATTGCAACAGATTAAATGCAGAAGTAGATTTGAAAATCCAGCTGTATTCTGATAAAATCAGACATTAAAGAGATTTGTATTTTTCTCTTCTGCTTTATTCTCAGTACAGGGAAATATGTTTTCTAGCACATGTTTCATCCCACTAGTTGTTTGGAATCCTTTACCATTTTTTGAGTAAAAGTTATAATGGTCCCACTGGTAATTTTTGTTTTTTTAATTTTTTTGTGAGGTAGCCTCTCACTCTGTTGCCCAGGCTGGAGTACAGCAAGGGCACAATCATAGCTCAGTCTAACCTCCACTTCCTGGGCTCAAGCAGTCAATCCTCCTGCCTCAGCCTTCTAAGTAGTTAGGAGTACAGGCACCTGCCACCACGCCCTTGCTAATTTTTAAAAAATTTTTGTCAGGGTCTCGCTATGTTGTCCATGCTGGTCTTGAACTCCTGGCCTCAAGCTATCCTCATCCTCCCAAAGTGCTTGGATTATAGTCATGCACCACAGCCCCTACTGGTTATATTCTATTAAGTAACTGTACATCAACAATGTCTTAGCTCTTTATACCTTTAACTATTCATCTGTATGAATTACAAAGAAAA